CTGTGTGGTTCAAGTAAAAAGTCACTGTATGTTTTTGTGACTTCAGTAAACCTCTCATATTTAGCTTTGTGCAACCTGTTGTAGTGACTTCTGTTGCAGTCCTTCATGGCAGACGGCGTCTCTGAGCAATGAACAGATGGTCTATCTCTAATAAAAACAAACAAAAATACAAAAAATAAACAAAAACATATACACATATTTACTCAGAATCACAGAGGTGTTTTTTAAAAGCTGCAGGGCCTCGTTTACGTGGCAGACAGAAGTCACATCAGTGATACATCTACTTTGTTCTGTCTACTGGCAACATATCCTGCATATAAGCTAATAATTTTTCTTAAGAAACTGTTACTCTAAATAAAACATGTTGCTTCTCTTATCAGAAACATTTCTGCGTTTCAAACTGTTTGCAGCATCAAGCAGCAGTCAGAATCTGAAAGCTGACCGGGGAGGTTTGGGTTTTTGACACCTGTTTTTCACTCAGGGAATCAGGACGGTAATTGCTTCTGAGAGGTCCCTGATCCATTAACACCGCACACGGCTTTCCCAAAGCCAGAAACATGATATGAATTTGACACATGTCCTCTTTTCATCTTCTTTTATGTCTAAGCAGTTGTTGTGATGTTGTTTATTTGGGGTAGATGTTGCTTTTTAAGTTTGAACCCTCTGGGAGGGAGGATTGATTTTAAAAGACCGCTTTTTCAGAACTTGCATGCTCGAGCTCCACTAACAGACTTTTATTTATTTATTTTTCTCTTTTTAATGAAAGGAAATTTGAATGCGTTTTTCTTAGGCTTCTTTTCTTCTTCTGCTCTTGTATTGTTTTGCAGTCCACACAATCTGCCGGCGAAGCAGACGGCTGCAGAAGATCCACTATNTTCTTCTGCTCTTGTATTGTTTTGCAGTCCACACAATCTGCCGGCGAAGCAGACGGCTGCAGAAGATCCACTATAAACACTTGAATTGCGATCCACTAACAGACTTTTATTTATTTATTTTTCTGCTTTTAATGAAAGAAAATTTGAATGTGTTTTTCTTAGGCTTCTTTTCTTCTTCTGCTCTTGTATTGTTTTGCAGTCCACACAATCTGCCGGCGAAGCAGACGGCTGCAGAAGATCCACTATAAACACTTGAATTGCGATCCAATATCCGCTCTGCTTTTCCTCCACTTTGCATCCGGAATATGTGGGTGTGCATTCCAATTATCTCTCACTGAAACGTGAATGCCAAAGACTGGAAACAATATTCAGAGGAGCAAAAATAAAGAARGAAAGAAAAGAAAGTGTCTCTTAGCTCCTGGAGGTTCATTTAGAGTGAGAGGAGAGGACAAAATGGCAAAAATATAAAGTCAGCTGCGTTGTTAGGAGRGATGTATCAGGCTCCGAGTTTTATTTATTTATTTTTAATAAAAAATGGATTTAGAAATTTAGCTTGCATCTCTTTTGTTTTGTTCAGACATTTGTGGTGAATTCACGAAGGCAGACAGGCGATATTTGTAGCCTCACATTTCCACCCAGCAGTTGGAGACGATGTTTGTGTCCTTGTGTAAAACATTTCTCCCTTATTTGTCTTTCAAATGAAGTTTTTAATGGGTGCAAAACATCCAGCATGCCTTTCCCAGCCCATCCACAAACCCTATATTTGGATAAAATGCTAATTTGTCATTCCTTTGTTGTGTTTTTGTGATTTCACTAAGGACGTGCACACGCTCGTTTTAGCTGCCTCTTTAAWACAGGATTTATCCTCTGGCAGCACAAGGACGATCGCCTCCTCAGGCTGTGACTCATTCTTTCCAGCTGACTCTAATCAGCAGCTAATTAATAGTTGATGTGCCGGCTTCCAAAAACACAACCGCTATTAACCTGTACATGCTATTGATTTAGCCTTGCTTTAGGTGTTGAAGTGGACTCCTGTGGTTCAAATAGACGATGCAATAAGTTGCAAATGTTTCCCACCAGTCAGAGACACTTTAAAGGAGACTAAACTCAGCTGAGCAAAGAAACTTGGGTTTTCTTAGTAGAAGTCATGGTTTCGTAACCTCTAACTGTTGATAAACCTTGAAAATTAATAGAAAATGAAAAAAAATTATGGTAAACAAGTAAATGAGGTGATTTCTGCTGTTTGAATTCTGAGATTTTGATTTATTTTTCTACATTKAGTGGAAAAATCTGCTGGTCTAAAACTGACAAAGCTCTAAATGTTCAACATATATCTGTATARAGCAGGGGTGCCCAAACATTTTTCCCTGAGGGTAAAAAATGAATATCTTTTCAGGGCTGCAGGCCAAATGCAGTAATGTAATACATGAAACACAAATACTTTTAAAGTAAAATCCTGCAGTTTTAATGATTAAGCTAGCAGCCAGTGCGGTGGCCCACTTTGTTTTAGTCTGTGCACTTAGAGAAAGTCAGCCATACACTCTATCAACAAAGGCTCGTGGGACATTTCATAAAATTGTAAAATTTGAGTTTTTGTGGCCTTATAAAGTCTGCAAATCTGCATGTGTGGTTAAATCTAATTTAAATATCTCGTTTTTACTTTTATTTCATGTTTAATCTTAATGTATCAATAATAACGTCAGCATCTTGAGTGAAAACCAGTGGTGGGCACCAGCCCACTAAAGCACAAATCTGCTAATTGTGGACCTAAATATGTTGTTTGCGCTTTAGCGGTCTTACTAATTTTTGTAATTCATAAACGGATTTGCGCTTTCTAAAATTAAAATGCAGTACYRCTAATAACTATTTATCTACCAGTCATCATAATGTTGAACAGCAGAAGGTATGGCTGTCAATGAATCACAACATGTGATCTGTCCGACAGCACCCCTCCCAGATAAACACACTTATTGTGAAGGTATACATCCTGCTGACTGTTGCTTTGGGTCACAGTTCTCATTTCCCACAATGCTTTGTGTCTGMTTAYGTAGCAGGAAGGCAATAGCAAAAACAGTAAACGTTTGTAATCCATACTAAAATTTTGTATGTATTGATTTATTTTGCTTTACAATCAGAGCTCCTTTTTTAAAAAATAAAGTTTAAACACTGGAGCTTAATACTTGATGTAATTGGTCGAAGCAACGGGGTTAGAGACGCAGAAATGATTTAAAGATGTTATGCTGATGAAGACTGACATCTAGTGGTCAACTGGAGCAACTACATGGAAAACTTTAAAATCCAAGCTCTTATTTTGAAGKGAAGATAGTTTCCTGTTCTCCGTGCTTTCGTTTCCCGTCACAAATCAAATCCGTCATGTACCCAGAATGCATCGCTTCAGTTTTCCAATAAACAGTTTTAAAATTACTTTATTGATGCTTCTTTAATGAAAAATCTACAACAGACAAAAGAAAAAGACAAAGAAGCAGTCAAACTAGCAATCCTCAACAACTTTTTAATTTTTACACCAGGAGCTAAAGGTCTGTTTCAGGAAATCACATCCCCAGCTATCGGTGGTTGTAAAATTAAGCTGTAAAAGCATTCATACACTACTAGTTGGCAGTGTTGTGCATATATTGTACATGAATTGTTACCAGCTAGTAAGCGTCAAATTGAACTTGTGCTTTAAAATTAGCTTCCGCTTATTTTTCTATGGCATGAGCGCTTTTGAATTTGTGGACCTAAATATTTTCATAAGCGCTTTAGAAATTGCGAAGCTAATTTTTGGATTAGCGCTGCCCACCACTGGTGAAAACTATCTGCCCCATAGCCCATTATATAGTCATTGGGCCGATGGATGAAATGACTTTAAGTGGAAATACTGTCTTTCTACACAGGACAACAGGTTAAAACCCATTAACTATGGCAACTGTTTTGGGACAAATCAAATGGCTTGGTGGGCCAAATTTGGCCCATGTGCCCCACTTTGGACTCCTCTGGTCAGTTAATTTCAGGTTTTAGCATGTTAGAATGAAACAAATTAGTTTAATCCTTGAAATTTAAACTTTACGTCCTGGAAGTCCCCGAACGTTGAAAGTTAGATTTCAGACTTCATTGAAACGAAACGAAACACAAACATGTCTGAGAAACGGCCAAGACTCTGCTGAACTTTATAAGCTTTAATGAGATTTTTAAGATTGTTAACCTTAGCTGCCTAAAATATTCTAAATAAAATCTATGGAAGTTCTGTTAGTCACTTATTACATAAATAGAAAATATAAAAAACAAAGATCCATTTTTCTGTAAAAAGCAGCTCAGTTTACACGTTCATTTAATGTGTTTTTATCCTTTTCATTGAAACAGTAAATCCTTATCCAACAAACAAAAAACAAAATTAGTTGAATTTTTAAAAACATTTTTTGTGGAATTTTGTTGTTTCAGCTGCATCGGTGTATGAGCCTGTATATCTGTATATTTATTTATTAATTGTCTCTTTAAATGTTTTACTGAAAGAATGAATGATTCTGTTTCGATGCAGTAAAAACTAACAGCTCTGTGCTGCAGTAAAACCCAAATGTTTTAGGGTTCTTTACATTGCCCTGGGTCAGTCTAATTAGTTGTCTTAAATGTTTTTAATGCCACAGCCCTGACATTATTAACAAAAACATTTATTAAATCTGATTAGGATTAGCATCCCTGGGATAAATCATCCGTTTTGCTTAATAATCAGCATCAGTTAAGCTCTGCAGCTATTTGACAACCTAATCTACAGCTTTTTATCACCAGGCTTTTTTTTCTCCTCTTGCTGCCTTCATCTGCTCAGTTACATTAATAAATGAGATTTCAGATGATGATGATGCTTCTGCAGTTTAAAGCACCAAAAAAAAAAAAAAAGGCGTCCAAATAAACCCATCTCCCTGACAACGCCTGTTCTGCTGCTCAGAGAGGCGGCTGAATTAAGCGTGATGCCAACGTGGCAAATTGAATCAATTTGGCTCTTCTAAATAGATGTGAGGCGTGGAGCCCGAACGCTCAAATGAATAAGGAGGAATTTCAGAGTTTAATGATGTTTTTTATTTATTTATTTTTTTGTCTGTTCATTTCTCTTTCCCCTCGTCTTAAACGCAGGTTTAGGAAGACGGAGCGTGAAGAGGAAGAGACAGATCACGTCAGGAACACAGCACGGAGCCACGCCGAGGGCATCGAACGCCGGGCCTCTGAAGCACAAGGATGGGATCAGGAGGTGAGGGGAGGATATTAGACCGTAAAAAAGTCACGAGGAGACGAGTCGGGAACAAAMTAGTGCAAAAACACAAGACTCAGGGTCAGTGTATCTTTTGGTCGTTGGATTTTCATTTTCGAAACAGGTATTGAAAAACAAGAAACAATTGGATATTTGATTTTTGTTATAAAATACTGAAATTAAAATT